TATTTAGTCACCTCTGAAAAAGCCCCACCTATGACTCCATGAGGCCTTTGAGGGGGATAACTAGATACAAACCATTACAACAATCTATTTTGAATTGATTTTTGTATAAGGTATGACATTTAGATCAAAGTTTGCCTTTTGATTCAGCACCATATCTTGAAACTATTATCCTCTCTCCATTGAATTGCTTTAAAACTTTGTCAAAACTCAGTTGATTATTTTTGTGTGAATCTATTTCTAAAGTCTGTATTCTATTCCACTGGTCTACATGTTTATCCCTTTGATACTATCACCTTGTCTTGATTGCTGTAATTTTATAATATGTCTTAAAATTTTAGTCTTCTGTCTCAGAATTGCTTTCCCTTCCCTCTCCTCCCTTCCCCCCTGCTTCTCTCTCTCACTCCCCCACACACACACTCCCTCCAAGTTTTAGAATTAGCTTGTTTATCTATGAGAAATTCTGCTGAGAATTTGATTGATAATGTGTGGATTCTATAGCTCAACTTGAGGATAATTTATATTTTTGCAGTGTTGAGTCTTCCAACCTGTAAGCATTTTGTGTTTCTACAGTTTCTTAGGTCCTCTTTGATTTCTTTCACCAGAGTTTTGTAGATTATATATATGAACTTCATGCATGCTTTGTTAGATGTATACACATTTCATTTTTATTTTTTATTATCATTATTATTATTATTATTATTATTATTATTATTATTTTGGTACTGGGGATCGGACTCGGGTCCTTGTGCTTTTGAGGCAGGCAGCAGAACCACTGAGCTAAATCCCCGGCCCCTCATTTCATTTTTGAAACTATTGTAAATGTTACATTCAACATCAGTTTTTAATTGGGCACTACTAGTGGTGTTTGCTTTTATGGCCATTACAGCAAATTACTACACATTGGGTGCTCACAGCAACAGAAATGTGTTCTCTTGCAGTGTAGCGGGGGCCAAGTCTACAGCCAGCTTTGCGTTGAGATCAAGGTGGCAGCAGAGCAGTGCTCCCTGCAGAGGCTCCGAGGGGAGAAGCAGTTTGTTGCCTCTCATCACTCTGGCAGCTTCCAGCATTCCTTGGCTTGTTCTTGCAATTCCAGCTCCTCTGTCTTCACACTGCCTCTCTTTCTGTTTCCATTTGGGAGGACACTTGTGATGGCATTGAGAGCCTACCTGGATAACACAAGGTGATCTTCTCATCTCAGAATCCTTGACTTAATCACATCTGGAAAAATGTTGCCATCTCAGGTAACAGTCACAGGTCCTAGGGATTAGGACCTAATATCTTTGAGGACATTTTTTGGCCCACCATATTAGTTTCTAGTAACCAAGATGTGAGTGTGTGTGTGATTTTGTGTGTTGGCCTTGATCCTGCAACCTTGCTATACTCATTTATTAATTTTAGGATTTTTTGTGGTAGATTTCTTGGGATTTTCTACATAGACGATCATGACATCTGCAAATGGAGACTTTTACCTTTCCAATTTGTGTGAATTTCATTTCTTTTTCTTGCCTTTTTTGACCAAAGCTTCCAATATCACATCAAATAGTATAAAAATTGACATCCTCACCATACACCTCATTTTAGGAGGAAAGTGTTTGTCCATTTTCCCAAGAATAGTGTTGGCTATATGCTTTTGTAGCTATCCTTCAGTAAGTTGAGGAGGTGCTTTTCTAGTCTTTCTTTGCAGGATGCTTTTTAAAAATCATAAATGGACATAAAATTGTGTCACGTGATTTTTCTGCATAAAATAATATAACCATCTATTATTTTCTTCACTAAATTAGTGATGGGATGGATTACACTGATTAATATTCACATATTGAATCAGCCTTATATTACTGGGACAAATCCTGCTTTGTTGAGGAGGAGTATTTTTATGGATTGCTCATTTTAATTTGAAATATTTTGTAGAGAATTTTTATGTCAATGTTAACAAGAGATATGGGTCTGTAGTTGACTTTATATTGTCATTGTCTAATTTTAGTATCAGGGTAATTCTGGCTTCAGAAGGTCATTGCAGATGTGTTCTCTCCTGTTCTATTTTCTGAAGAAGATTGTGGAAATATCTTATTTGTTCTTTGTATGTTTCATAGAATTTTCCAATGGAACCATTTTTGCCTGGTGTTGTTCTTTTTCAGAAAGATTTTCACCATAAATTCAACTTGTTTTATAGTAATTTGATATCAGGTTATCTGTTTCATCTTGGATAAGTTTTAGTCATTTTTAGTTTTTACAAAATTGTTCTATTTTATCCAAGTTGTTGAATATATGTATAGAGATGTTGATAGCATTTTTGTTTTTGGTAATTCGCCTCCCACCCCTGCCCTTGGCAGTCTTGTTAATGAGCTATCAATGTTATGGGTCTTTTCAAAGAAGCAGCTTTTAGTTTTACTGCTTTTCTTTTGTGTCAATCTCAGTATGGTCTCTTTTCTCTTCATTGTTTATGTCTTTTATCTTAGGCACTTTCCTCACTGCTGAGACACAATACCCAGCACCCACAACTAAAGAAGGAGAAGTTTATTTTGGACCGTGTTGTAGAAGTTTCAGGCCTTGCATAGCTGGCTGCCTGGTGGATGGGCCTGGGCAGAGAAAAGCTGCCCACTTTATGGCAGCCAGGAAATAAAGTGAGGGGAGGGAGATAGATCCTTTCAGGCCGAGCCCCTAGTGATGCACCTCTTCCAACCAGGCCCCACCTTGTAACCACAGTCAGCTGTAAGCTCATCAGTGGACTGACCTACCAAGATGTAGCGCCCCCAGGATCCCATCACCTCCCAAAGTCCTGCCTAGGAGAGCAGGAGACTTGGAGGAACATCTAGGTATAAACCATAGCATCTTTTGGTTTGGCTTTAGCTTATTTTGCTCATCTTTCTAGTTTCGTAAAGCTCAAATTGAGATTTTTCTTTCCTAAATAATGTTATGCATTTCCATTTTAAGCACTGCTTTAGCTGCTGTTATGGTTTAGATCTGTATGTCCTCCCATGCAGGGGTGTTGAAGGGTGATTGAATCGTGGGGGCACTGTAGTTAAATGTGATGTTAGGAGGTGGGGCTGGTCAGAAGAGGTGGGTCACTGTCTCCCTCCCCAGCTTCTCCCTGTTCTCTCTGCTTCCTGCCAGCTATGACAAGAGCATCTTTGCCTTCACTGTGCTCCCCTGCCATGCTTGGAGTTGACCGACCACGGACAGAAATGTGAGCCAAAACAAACTTCACCTTTAAGGTGTGGGTGTCCGGTATTGTGTCTCAGTGAAGAGAAAGTGACTAAGACAGCTGCACTAAAATTGTTTTATTTTCATTTTCATTTAGTTCAAATGATTTTCTAGTACTATTTGAGACTTTTTGACTCATTGATTATTTAGAAGTTTTTTAAAAAACATTTCCATGTATTTTGAGATTTGCCTATTATCTTTTTGATAGTACATTTGATTTCTAGCTTAATTCCATTATGCTCTGTAAATGTCACCAGCTAGCATGGATTCTTAGCCACATGTAAGATGGAAATCAGATATCACCCAGTTGTTGAGTCTGCTGATGACTGTCACCATTGTCTGCCTCTTCTTCAGGACCCTCTAAGGGATAGGGTCCTTGTATGGACTTCTAAGATGTTACTAATCAACTAAATATTCTTGCTGAATTTGTATAGAAATCATGTTTCCAATTCATAATAGCCAAACTATAGAAACAACCTAATTGCCCATCAACAGATGAATGGATAAAGAAAATGTGCAGTATTATACAAATATAAAGAATGATAAATTTAAGTCATTTGTAGGAAAATAGATAGATCTTGATATAATACTAAATGAATCAAATCAAACAAAGGCGGTTAAATATTACATGGTTTTGCTTAGATGAGAAACTCACAATATAAATAAATTTAAAGGTAAAATAAAGGAGAGATGGCAGGAAACAAGGAGGCAGACTTGTGGGAGCTAGGGAAGGGGAACAGGGAAAAGGGAGAGAGGAGAACGAATGGAAGGAAGGGGATTAAAAAGATGATCAAAATGTGATATGTGCGTGTACCAGTTCTCCAAATGAATGTAATTGTCATTCATTACATTTACCAATACAATTAATAAAAAAACTACAGGGCCGGGGATTTAGCTCAGTGGTTTCGCCACCTGCTCCGCAAGCGCAAGGACCCGAGTTCAATCCCTGGCACCAAAAAACGAAACAAAACAAAAAAAACAAATGAAAAAACCACAAATGGGCAAAGTGCACTTCTTCTGGTGTTAACAGCCTGAGCTTTTAATGTCGGCTCTTAAGGTTAGCAGCTCCCCTCACCTGTTGGGCCAACAGCTCCCAGTGGGGTTGGGACTCTCAGCCCCCAGACATGGTGACTCTTGGCAATTCTGTGTTGCTCTCTGTTGTTCTCTGGTGTTGGCTGCCTTCTGTGCTGCTGGCAGCTTTTGGCACCCCTCGAGATAGAAATCATGAATAGGCAAGAGGAAAAGCCATCTGCCAGAGACTTTCTTAGCACTTAGGCTGCATCATCAAAACAGCACATGGACTGAGCCTGCTAATGGTGTGAGCAGGCTACTTACATAGGGAAAAGGGGCGAGCTCCAGCATGTGCAGTGGCAGACTTTTTCTTTGGTCATGGGTGGGAGAGGGCCCTAGCAGACCTAACTGAGGAGCGCTGCGGTGGACAGAGTCATCCAGAGAGGCTGCAGAGTCCCCTGGGATCCATCTGTATCTGAAGTCCGCAGCAGCCACAGTGAATGCCTCCCAGAGCAATGATGGGGCACAGAATAAAGTACTGTGTAAAGTACCTCCTGAGGAGTGTTGCACCCTTCTCTCCTGTCTCAAATGCACTTTGTATAATTTGAGTTTGTTCAGTTTCTTAAGGTTTGTCTTATGACCCAGAGTGTAGTTTATCTTGCTGAATGTTGGTTCTGTGGATATTGGGTTTTCTTTAGAAAACTAAATTTCTAAGCTGGGCCCATTGGTTAGCATAGTCACTTAAGACATCCTGGAAGATGTCACAGCCAATTCTTTCCTTTGTCTAGAACGTTAAAGATGTGAGGAGTGATAATGAAGAGGAAGAAGAGGAGGACAATGACGACGAGGAGGAGGAAGAGGAAGCTACCAAAGGCAAAGAGAGAGACTGTTTGAAGAATGGCCTTGGGACCAACAAGCACCTCATTCCCAATGGTCAGCACAGCCATTAGCTTGAAGCCCACGTGACTCCCATGCACAGTGTTCCGCAAGGACTGTTGGGAGCCTGCTATACTCCCCACTCCATTGCTGTGGCCAAGAGGACCACAGAGACCCCAGGTTCTGCCCTTCCCTCTGTCTCACCTTTCCTCCCTCCTAAGATATGTTTAACAATATGTTGTTAATTTGTGTTAGAGTAGTAAATATGGGGCCAGGGATTTAGCTCAGTGGTTTTGCCGCCTGCTGTGCAAGCACAAGGACCCGAGTTCAATCCCCAGTACCAAAAAAAAAAAAAAAAAGAAAAAAAATAATAAATATGCCCATGCCTGTGGATTTTACTGCAGTTTGGTCACAGGCTGGTCAGAGATTTCAGAGATTTCTCCAGAGCACTGTTTGAGTTCTAGTTGCATTCATTTGTGTACTTGAGAGACATTTGACTTTTTCAGGGGCTCGCTTTGCTTTAGCCCTTTCTTCTTTTCACCTTGCCTATCTTCAGGATGGTTTGACCAATGCTAAGGAAACCCGCTTTTTCCCGGATGTGTTCAGCCACAGAGAGCAGCTCATTTCCCAAGGCTGTGTTAGAAATGGTGGTGGGACAGTTGCAAGGACCAGACAAGGAGTCAGGTTCCAGGGCTCGTGGCCACTTCCTGCCATGGTGGCTGAGGTGCTGGTCTCTACAGTGCGATGGTAGTGCTTGCTGCGCAGCCTCACGGGGTTGGGTGAGGATCCAGTGAGATAGGAGAACTGATGTGCACACTGTCACCTGCAGGGTTGTTAACTGACCCTCTCCACACAGATTCTAGCTGTTTGGAAGAGAGAAGCCTGGGTAAACTTGGCATGAATGAAAGGTATAAACTTTAAAAATTCCTCTCAAATGTGTCTGAGATGCCTGGAAATGCACATACCCAGAAGGCTGTTTCCACTTGATTTGCTAACTATGTATGTATTAGCCCCCAACAATAGTTCTCAAGTTCCCCTGGAAATAATCTCCTCCCTCAGGTCCTGTGGCCAAGGGAAGGGAGCTTTAGCACCTTTCCTCTTTATCGTTTGCTGGTTTTCACTTTTCCTCTCTAACAGGGAAGCTTCCCTGTGCTGCCTTGAGAGTCCCTTCTTCGGGCCAGCAGAGCTCCCCATGACCCGTGGGTGTCGGTCTGGGGCCTCTGCAGAGGAGAGGGAAGCAGGTCAGGTTGCACACTGAGCCACGTCACCTGGAAAGCCTGAGCCTCTGGATGGCATTCGTGGGAACTGCCTGGCCTAAGGAAGTCTTAGAAACAGAACAGGAAGCCACATGATTTTATTGCCATCATCCACCCAATCAGACTGCATAACAGTGCAAAACCACAACACAAAAGGCCATAAAATACCCACCCCCAGCAATGTCCATGCAAGGTGCTGAGCCACGCCAGCCCTCCTGGTGGCTGGATGTGGGATGGTACACCAGGGCTGGCTCTGCCTCACCCTCCAGGAAGGGAGAAGCTAGAATGGTTGAACACACTCTGTCCCTGTTACAGCTTTGTCACTGCAGGGGACACATGTCCTGAGCACAGTAGGCACTGCTGACCTCAGCGCCTTCTGGGGTCCCACTGAGTAGAGGCCGAGCCTTCCAGAGAAAGACCTTGAGCACAGAGCTCCTGCTCCCCTCACTGCCCACCTGCCTCTCGCAGTTAGGGTCCTATTTTGTGTCTCCATCCTGTTGTGCTCAGGGCTCTTGCATGTACACAGCCACATCAAAAGGGCCTGTGGGGACTGGAAAGTGAGGTCCAACCCCTGCAGGTTGCAAGGTGCCTGTAGCAGAAAGGACACTGTGTACACTAAAAAGGTCTGAGATTTTTGGTTTTTAATAAAAATAGATTTTTTAAACCTGCAAGCTAAACAGAAACAAGACAAAACCCTTTGGAATTTTTTCCCCAACAAAATCTCTTGTTGAGGAATCACTGGAAGAAGAGAAAAACAAATATCAAATTTTCTCTGTGTATTTGCTTCAATAACATATGCATTGATGTATAATGTGATATTATAAATGTAAAATGACTCCACTCAAGGGCATAACTCTCCATTTATTATTAATAGTATGTCATTATTATAATTGTTGTTATTGTGGTGGGAGAAGTTGACACTAAAGTATTATTTTTTTATGTTTCCACTTAACAGAGTATTTTTTTTCTTCATTTATTTTGGTCTTGTCTTGGTACCAGATCTCTTCTTGTTTAAGGTAAAAAATTATTTATTTACATCTCTGTCCTTCAGTTTTTTACCTCATTTGATTGTTGAAGGTAAAATTAACATATCAATTTCAACTATCTCTAATGCAGCTGGAAACACGAAACTAACTTCGTAAGAGGTAGATACACAGTTCTGTAACATCCTTCAGGTCTTTCATGGTTAATTTTAAAGGTAACCTCCATTCTACAGAAAATAAGTTACAGGACTATGTGAGATGACTTTATTAAACTGACATTCACAGTGCCATCAATATTGTAATGGTTATGACTTAAAATAAAATAAAGTTAAAATCCAGTGCCCATGGTGACTGAGAGTCAGAACACACAGTGCTTGGCTTTTTAGAGATAAATGCTCTCCCTGAGCAGTGGAGACAGAGATTTGCCTCCAGAAAGACCCACTGGCCATGGGGGTAAACAGCAGAGAAGGGAGCCAGGTGGGAAGAGTCTGCCGACCTTGTGGCTCCAACTTCAAGCATGGGGCTGGAAGGGGCTGTCGCCCCAGAGCTCAGGCTTCCTGGGCTATTTGCCTTTCCAGGTATCACTGACACACTGAAGAAGAAGGCGACTCTAAGATTGAACCTCTTGGCTGTGCACAGTGCAGCCAGCCTGGGGGCAGGAGTCTGACTGGGCACCAGCTGAGCCCACAGCCCCTGGGGAAGGGTGACGAAAGGGCACATCGGGTCCAGTTGATGGCTCCCTGGCTGTTCATCAGAATTCCTCACAGACTTTAAAAAGTATATCTTGCTTGTTGCCTGCTGCCCATATTAATACAGTATTTCTGAGATGAGAAACATCTCCATGTTATCAGAGTCCCAGGTACTTGTGAAAAGCAGTTGGGATTCTGTGCGACTGTACCTGGCTTTATACCTACTGGCAGTTTCATGCATTAAGAGATGCGGAAATATAATGGTCCCATGTATTTAACTAAAATAAAACAGGGAAGGAGAAAAGGAAACAGAATAGGCAAGACAAAAGAGAAAACTCATATTAATATATGTACCGCCAAAGCAAGCACAGAAAACTCATATTCAGATGGCAAGAATGATTTGGGTTGATAATTTCAACCCAAGTCTATCAGTAATTGCAGCAAGGGTAAAAACATAGTCTCAGATTGGATTTTTAAAAATATCAACTATATATTATTTATAAGAGATATACTGTAAAATAGGGAAGAAGAAATGTTGAAAGTTGAAGGATGGAGAAAAATATGCCATATAAACCGTACCTACCACCCAAAGTTCTAATACCAGACAAAGGCAAGAAGAACTAGTGGATTGTAAAAGGAGTGTTTAGTCATAATGAAAGGGATAAATCCTCCAGGAATACATGAAAAATCCACCTAATATAGCTTCAAAGTATATGAATAAAAATTTCACAGAATTCAAAGGAGTAACAAATTCATAATCCTGTTTGGGTGGTTTTAACACATTTCTCAGTATCTCATAGAACAAGCAGACAAAAATATCAGTAAAAGTAGAAGATTGTAACAATGAACTTAACAAAACTGACCTAATTGACATATACAGAATACTGTACCCCGTAATTGCAGAATGCACATTCTTTTAAGTGCACATTGAACATTTGCTAAAATAGACCATAAAGCAAATCCTGAAACATTTCAAAAGCTTAAAATCATATAGAATATGATCACTGATTGCTGTGAAATTAAACTGGAAATCTATAATTAAAAAGATAAGTAGAAACATTGCCACATATTAAATGATACACTTGTAAGAGACCTGTAGAATAAAATCAAAAGCTTTTTCTAAAATTTATTTGGAAAACTGTGTTGCTAGAATACCTTAAATAATCTTGAGAAAAATTGGAGAGGGAGGAATCACTTTACTCAGCATTAAGGCTCAGTGTGTAGCTGCAGAGACAATGTGGCATTGGCAGACACAGATCAGTGGAATAGAGCGTCCTCGGCGGGAGGTGGAGCTTAGTGGCGGAGTACTTACCTAGCCCAGGGTTTCATCCTCGGCATTGGAGGGGGCGTCAGAAGCACATCCACATAAATATGACCAACTGATTTGTGACAAAGATGCAAAAGCAATTCAATGGGGAAAGGAGAGCCTTTTCAATAAATAATGCTGGGGTAACTGAGTCCCAACCCGAATATCACATCTATAAAAAAATCAATTCAGAATGCATCATGAACTTATATTTAAGATGTAAAACTATAAACTTTTAGACAAAAACACAGAAAAGTTTCATGTTCTTGATCTAGAAAAAAGGGTCTTTTACTGACATTAAAAGTGTAATCTATCAAAGGAAAAGCTGATTAATTGGATATTATGAAAATTGAAAACATGGCTCTGTGAAGGACCTCCTTAAGAAGATGAAAGACAAATTGCTTGCCTTAGACAAACTAAGGGAAAATATTTGCGTCCACATATATTTGACAGAAGACTTGGGTGCGGGATCCTCACCCAACTTTCAAAACTATCTCCTCCAGCAAGATGATTTTGTTGAGCTTCACTTCCTGTGCCTGGCATTAGGAAAACAGCAGGCAGTCGCTGAAGATCAGTGGAGGGGTCAATTTTTAAATGAGAATTCCTAAGCCCAGCTGGGAGAAGGGTGTTACAGAGGTGTCAGTACCAGTTGGCCACACGTGGTGCCATGGTGAAGGTCCCTGTCCCTTGCTGTCATAGTCAGGGCCCCACCAGAACATAGGACTGGTAAAGTCTGTGCAGAAGGACTAAGGTTTTTTTCCCTCTGGAAACTTGCACAGGAGCCCCTCACTGCAGAGCAGGCTGCTTACCAGGACAGTTTTCTCATTTCATGGTCCCCACAGGGCTGCCACAGCCTCACCAATGGGCCTCCCTGGTTCCTTGTGAGGGCAGATACTGCTCAGCCCCAGAACCCCGAGTGAGTGAATGCCCTAGCCAGTCTCTCCTGGCCTGAGTGTTGTCTTCTGGCCCAGAAACTGTTGAGAAACTGATGCATAAATCTGTCCTGGGTGCCAGGGAGGCAGAGCTCAGGGCTGCTGTCTCACTGCTTCCCCATAACCTGGTGCTCTCAGTAGGCCCTCTGCCAAGTTGTCAAACTCTCCCTTCTCCTTGCTAATAAAACCTTCTACCAGGCAGCTCTCAATTCCTGTTAAGGAGGAGAGAGAGGGAGAGAGAGAAAAGTCAAAATCCATGGATTTTTAAGAGAGAGAAGTAATTCAGAGCCTCAGTCAGGGATGCTCTGGGGAGACGCTTGGGCCTTGGCAGCTGCTGTCGGTGCCAGGCAATTAGCCCAGGATATGGAACAAAGGGCTCAATATCCTTGACCAGACATTATGTCAGGCTGGGCATATTCCCCCTAGGAAGGGCAGAAAGGCTTCTTCAAGTTCACTACTTACCCACTGGGTTTCATTGGCAGGTTCCTATTTCCTGTGGTCCATCTTTCTCTTTAAAACAGGACATTAGTAAAGGAAGCTGTGGTAGAACAGCCTGGGCTGCATCAAAGATGAGCTCCTGCTGCACTGGCCCAGTTAGGTTGAAACAGACAAGGACCCCATGTAGAGCAGACATGTCACCGCCCCAGCTGCTGGGTTTGTGCTCACATTCTCTGTCCCCATTCTAGGTTTTTAGATGCTGCACACGAAGCAGGATAAAGGGAAGGACTTTGCTGCATTCACAGTGAGGTCCTAGACTATGAGCTGGATCTTGGAAGTCTGAGCTCACTGCTCCTCACCCCATACTGCCAGTATCACAGAAAGGTCCGAACACCAGTAGGGCTTTGTATCCTATGCACGCAAGAGCAGGAGCCTTCCCCTGGTCCTAGAGGGGTTGTCCTTTAAAGAAGCAGAAGGACCTGACTTTGTGGGCTTCCAAAGGTAGCCACACTGGGGTCAGTCAGGAATCAGAGGACAAGAAGACAGATGGCCAGGCAACCAGGAGAGCTTAGCAGAAGTTCCGAGGTGGCCAAGAAGAAAAGACAGAAAAGCCAGGCCCACGAGCTGGAGTTGCTTGAAATTTGCTACTCAGGTTAATGTGCTGAAACTGCAGGTCATCTAATTTCTTATAATTTCATCCACATCATGGGCCTTATCTCATCGTTCTGTGGATGAGCAGACAGAAGCCAGAGAGGAGCCACACTCGATGCTCAGAATATGGTGTCTGGGGTCAGAATCTCAGTGCACCCCATATGGGCTGTGCAGCTTGGGGAGCCACTTCATCTCCCTCAGCCTCTGCTTCCTTAAGTGTAAGGATGACATCTCCCCTGAGGTAGCCTGTGAGGGTTCCATGTGGCATATTTTGAAGCACCTGCCACAGAAAAAGCGCCCACAAAATATTAGCTTAATTTCAAAGAAATATACTGAAGTCACCCAGCTCGTGAATGGGAGATCTCAGATTTAAACCTGCACTTTCTGCTGATCTCCAAGAACCATGCTGTTTGTATTGATGGATTGAAAAATATTTATTGAGGCCCACTGTATGTCAGTCCAAAAGGTTAAGATATTTAGCAAGATGCACAGCACCATTGCTGTCCCTGAATGTGGTGGATGAGGGACATTGGAAACAGAGAGTATTGGTCAGATTTCAGTTAGGGAAGCAGGAGTCATGGTACGTATTTCAAAGAGAGTATTGAGTGCAGGGAATTGCTTATATAGGTGTGGAAGGGCTAAGACAACAACCAAAAGGGTGTAACTAGGGATAGTAACTGCGAGAAGTAGAGATGAAGACTTTTTTCAGATTATAGACGCTTGAGGGGTAGATCCCACAGCACTAGTGTGTGGATTGGATCCGTACTGCTTGCCCCAAACTTGGGATACAGAACAGAACCTGGAAGCTGCTGCTTGTATCGCTGAGGAAAGGGGAACCTTGTGGCTGGTGCTGGGACCACTGAGAAGTGAACACAGACTAGTGGATGCAGGAACCTCCACAAAAGGAGCCAAGACTGGCAGGGAAGGAGGTACTCTTAGGAGCAGGATTAGTGGCCTTATAAAAAAGACCCCAGAGAGTCCTCTCACCTCTTCCACCATGTGAGGACAGCAAGAAGGGCCACCTATGAGCCTAGAAACAGGCTCTCACCAGACGCTGAGTCTGTCTGTACCTTGACACTAAACTTCCCAGCTTCCAGAATTTAGAAATACAGCTCTGCCTCCATATGTGGTTTTGGATGCTAATTTATTATTATTGTATGTAAAAAGTTCATAGTAAAATTATTCATAACAGCCAAAAGGTGAAATTGAACCCAATACCTGTCCATGCTGAATGAATGAAAATACGGTACAACCACACAATGGGATATTATTTGGCAATAAAAAGATATGAAGTACCCATATATTCTACATGGATGAACCATGAAACATTAGGCT